ATTAATCCAATCGGCAATTATTCTTGTTAGCAGTTAAAGAGTTGTATTGAGCAAGGTTTTTTACGATAATTGGTAGGATTTTTCTTTTTTTGTGTATTGCTATGGTAATATTGGTTCTCCACTGGTGTGTCCATGCTTACTATTTAAAACTTCCTGAAAAAGTAACTTTGTTTTCAACTATCATTTCTCCACCGTATTTTAAGATTTCCTTAGATATGTCATCGGGTTCTGGAGCTTTATTTATGTTTATGTTTATTTTATATTTATGTTTTTTATTTACATTAGCTCCTTGATTTCCTTTTCTTTTGCTTCTGTAGGCCTAATACCTTCTCAAAATCTTTCTTCTTCAAAATTTTACTAGAAAAAACATTTTACCGAAAATTCAAAGTATACCATTAATTAGTGCTTCATCCCATTTTAAAAAATCTAATATACAGGGGGTTGTTTTTGGATCGGAATATTTTTCCAATATTTTTTTAATCCGGACCTGGATTTCTTATAATTATAAATAAATTAATCGATTGGACACCTTAAAGTACAGTCGCGTGCCAAAGAGAAAGCAAATATACAGTATGGTTAAAAAGTTATGAATCAAATAAGAAGTTGGCAAAATAGATGAAACACCCACTAGCTTTGTTATTGATGAAGTAAGAGCCATTAAGTATGGGGTTTTTGAGATCGCCCAAGTGTCCTCTTTTGTCAATTAACTTATGTTACTCTTGCAAAGAAACACCCTGTATTTATTATACTTATGTAAATTTTCTTTCTGAAGTGTAATGTAACTTTGCATTGTTGTATCATCATCATAAGTGAGTTTACAATCCGTTGTGGATCTTGGCCTGCTCACAAAGAAGTCCCCACTTCTGTCGTTTCCTGGCAACCTCCCTCCATCTTCTAACCCTTAGAATCTGTAGATTTTCTTCCACATCATCAATTACATCATCCATGGTCGTCATCTGCTTCTTGTGCCCTCTGGTTTTGAAAATGTTAATCTCTTAGTGTATTCGTGATCTGACATCTTAGCAATTTGTCCAGCCCATCTAAGTCTCTGCACTTTAACGAATTTCACAATATCTGGATCGGTGTATAAATGATATAGTTGAAAGTTGTATCTTCGACGCCATAGCCCATTTTCATTTACGCCCCAAAAATCTTTCCAAGAATTTTTCTCTCCAAAATACCAAGAAGTCTTTTATCGTTTTGAGATAAGGTCCAAGTTTCAGCCCCATATATCAAAACCAGTCTTATTAAGGTCTTGTATTGTACTGCACGCTTTATATTTTTATTTTTTATTTTTTTTTGGGTTTCTAGAAACGTGAAGAGTTCTGTTTGCTGTTGCTATGCGTCTTTTTATTTCGTCGCTTGTCCTGTTTTTGCATAACTTTAATATAATAAAATAACTGTACCTATGTCAATGACATACGTAATTCTCAAAACAAATGAGAAAACCGACAAAAAAAAAGAACAAAAACAAATTTAGTTGCTGTACAGTTTATAGAAAATTCTGGTTATTGTACATTATTAACGATATTTCTAACCGTGTATATTTTTCTCAGGTTTAAATTCATTAATCTAAGGAATTATCTTGCAAGTTCTGTCCGGTTTTTATTCCTTAAAAGGAAGTGAATCATTTTGGTTGATAATTGCGATGTAAATGTCTATAAAATTCTATTGACAAAAATTCCTTTGTTGATAAAGCATTGTTTAAAAACTATTATTCACGTGATACAATATAATTTTTGATAGTTTGTACTTCTGTTTATAAAACTAGTCTTTGTAATGTATGTACATTTTTTAGTTCGTTAACATCTATCGATAATTTATAAAAACTGGTTATTTCTTTTTAAAATGCAAAATTCGAAATATATTTTCGTACATCAGCATATGATAGTTTAATTCTGTTAGGATAATTTAATTCATTTCTTGAGGTAGATCACCTCTTCTTCCTTCCGGTGTAAAACACGTTCCTAACAATATTTTTGCATGTTCTGGTCCAATTAGTCATATTTTTTATGTTTTTGTGGTTTTCGCGTTTTTTTTTATGTGGTTTAACCGTAACCAACGTGGTGAATTAATTTTACACCAACGACGTGGTAGAGTCCCTGGGACTCCATGTTGTCGAACTGACAATTTGTGTTCTAAATGTTATGTTACAGTTATTGAAAGTTAAAAAGGCATTTAAAGAAAGCATATTTATTATAAAAAGTTGAACAATACAAAATAATACCAGCTTATAGGAAAATAAAAATTGAATAAACCGAAAAATCTGCTATCAGCGTTTGCGTCGATAAAAAATAAAATTTTTTTATATCAAAATTTTTTTTTTCAAAAACTCGTTTTTAAAACTATATTGAATACTAATTGTGCAAGTCCTGATTGATCACATTTCTTCACGCTTATTTACACATTCACTACACATTTTTTTGTTACATTCCAAACAGATCGGTTTTTTACACTGTATACACAGAAATTCTTGTCTTCCTTTTCAATTTTGGGTTACATAAATAGCAGTACTTCCTAGTGTTCCTGGGTAAGGTATCTGTATGATCTTCATTTTCGGTTGGATTTATTCTTAGCACCTTTTGAATGCTGAGTCTTAGTTATCTTGGAAGACGTTGGTTTAATTTCTCATTCTCGAAGAATCGGTTCATAAGCGGTTGCTGTGTCAAAATCTTCTTCTTACGGTGCCTTATACTTAAGGACGTTGGCCATTACATTTGCCCATTTAATCTTATGTGTAGCAGCCCTGAATAGTTCTATGGAGGTCATGTTCGTCCATTGCCGTAGGTTTTTAAGCCAAGAGTTGCGTCTTCTTCCTGGTCCTCTTTTGCTATTGAACTTTGCCTTCGATTATAAGTTGGAGCAGTTCATACTTTTGATTTCTTATGATGTGACCAAAATATTGTGTTTTCCGTTCTTTTATTAAAAGCATAAGCTCTCTTTCCTTATTCATCCTCCGCAAGACTTCCGCATTTGTCGTATGGCTCATGTAGGATATTCTGAGCATTTTACGGTAACACCAGAGTTCTAATGCTTGGATTCTTTTTGGTGTTGCTTCTGTCATTGTCCAGGCTTCAACACCATAGAGCAAGGTGGAGAAAACATAGCACTTAAGTATTCTAGTTCTCAATGAGATGCCCAGCTGGCGGTTGCATAGAACTTTTTGCATTTTGTAAAACATTGTACGTGCCTTTTCCAGGCGTATTCTTATCTCTAGTGAGTGGTCCCAAGTTTTATCAAGATTACTTCCAAGGTATGTTGTTCTTGTTACTCTTTCCAGATCTGTTCCGTCGACATTGACCTTCATCCTTCTGCTTTGGTGCTTGCTGATGACCATCGTTTTTGTCTTCTTTGTATTTAATTTCATTCCCAATTCTCTACAGGCTGTCGTTACTCGGTCCATTAAGCGTTGCAGGGCTTCAGCATTATCTGCCAGATGACAGTGTCATCAGCATATCGCAGGTTATTTATTACATTGCCGTTTATAATTATACCATCCGAGGTGCCTTCCAAAGCTTTCTGAAATATCTTCTCAGAGTAAACATTGAACAGCAAAAGGTGATAGGACACATCCCTGTCTTACTCCCTTTTCGATATTGATTTTTCCAGATGTTTCGCTTTTTATTCTGATTTTAGCCTTTTGTTCTTGGTAGAGGTTTGAAATGATCCTTAAGTCTTTATCGTCGATATTACATGACCTTAAAATATCTATTAGTTTATCATGTTTCACCAGGTCAAACGCCTTCTGAAAGCCTATTAAACACAAGTAGGTATACATCAGAATCGACATCTCTACATCTTTCAACTAGCACACGTATTGAAAAAAGTGCTTCTCTTATTCCGAACCCATTCTTAAAACCAAACTGACTTTGACCAGTGTGTTCGTCTAGTTTATTGTATACTCTATTGTGTATTACTCGTAGGAAAAGCTTCAACATATGATTCATCAGGCTAATAATCCTATGGTCTTCACATTTCTTGGAGTTTCTCTTCTTTGATAGTGGTATAAACACCGATGTCAGCCAATCATTTGGTGTTATGCCTGTTTCGTATAGTTTGTTAAATATATCTTCCATTACTTCGATGTGTTCGTCTAGTAATAATAAAATCTTCAGAAACTCTAATCTTGTATATTTTGTTTTGTTGGCACAAGCCTGGTGAATAATATGATATGCTTAATGCACTCATATCGATTATTCTAAAAAATATGATCATCGGCCGGTGCCTGGTTCTTCGACTGCACGAGTATTTTGTGCATTTTTCGTCTACTGAATGTACGCCTGCTTTTGTATTGTTATAAAAGGCATTTATTTCCGGTAACCCAGTTTCGATATCATCTTCTTTCATGTGATGCAGCGGGGATATTAAAAACACAGCCCATTTTTCTTTGGCACTCGAAAGAATATAGTTTTAGTTTTTGTAAATCCGTATAAAGTTGAGTTTACAGATTTTGATCTAAATGGTAGGAACTCTTTAGGAATCTCTCTTAAAGGAATAAACTTAAATTAATACTAAGCCACTATTTCGCATTTAATAACAAAACGTATGTGTAAAAGTGTTGTTTTTCGCACAAAACATCTAAACAGGTTCAAACAAGAAAAAAACGTTATCGCTAATAAGGCATAAAATACAATTCAAAACAAATTAACCAATTGATCTCAACACCAATAAAAAACAAAAAAATCTTAGTGTCCGGTTAATTTTGCACCCCAAAATATATTATTTAACATTCTACTTATTTATGTCTTACGTCTTAGTTTAAGTCGAAGATATAATTTTTAATCATAATTTTTTATCAATTCTTAGATAAAAAATTCTTATTTAGTGGATTTATCGATATTAAAGTTTCTAAAAAACCATACTTTTACTTGTATAAAGATTACGATAACGATTTTTCGAAGAAATTTCATTTAAATCATCGGTTTTTAAAGCCTTTAATCTTTTAAGTATTTATCAGGTAACTAATTTATCATAATAATGTTTTGTTTTAATTATTTTAGTGCATTTTTATGGTATGGCTTATGCTTCCTGGAGATGTCAATGGCTCAGTAATCCTCTACCGTAGAGTAATCAAGCCTTACTTCTTGAAACACCAAGGTGAAATCGACGGAGTCGTTAACAAAGTAAAGAATACAGTTAAAGATACAGGTAAGATATTTTTCTACTCATATAATTAGTAGGAACATCATAATGCAACAGTCCATTCCTTAAATATATTCAGCACTATCTGTTATAACATGTATCTCCAATTTACTTAATATTATTGCCTTAATACGCCACAATTTTACTTAATAATAAGTTTATTACACATCTTAAGATCTAGTCATAACACCAGACCTTTACAATAGCCTTTGTTAAAACTGCTCATTACAATATTATAACCAGAACTGCTAGCAATCGATTTTTGTTCACCAAGAATGCCTGTGAACTCGTTTTCAATTTGGACCAAAATATTTTATTGTCTCAGGCATCAAACTGTGCCCAAAGGCTCTGAAGTTTACGACTTGTCTACCTTAAAACTTATCCTTTAGTCAGTTAAGCAACTGGCAGAGCTCGACAAAGTAACTTTGCTGTGGCCAGTTCTGAATCCAAATTGGAAGTTTGGGATGATATTGTAAGTGTCTAGGTGTTCTACAAGTCTCTCCTTAAGGATCCTCTCGTGGATCTTGCCTAGAGTGTTTAATAAAGATATTGGTTTGTAGGATTTAAGCACTGGTGCTGAATTCCTACAAACTGGATATTTTCCAAAGGGTAAGAAAATATTCCAACTGTAGGCATGCAACTTAATAGTTTCGGTTAGCAGCGGGCAGATTGATTCTGGGAGTTGTTTATGGCATCTTCTGTATGCCATCTGGCTAAGGAACGGTATTTTTTGCCTAGGCTACACATTCTCCTGACGGTTGTGCAACTATACACCGTGACACCCTAGTCAAGTGGTACAATATATTAAGAGTATCTCTCAACTGTGCAAAAACTCAACTAATTTTATTAAGAAATTCTTAATGTTCCAGCACAGTGCTATAACAGGAAAACCATATTCTGCTCAACAGAGAATGGCTTTACTTCAGACCGTCGGTTTTCTACTTGGTGTCGAATTTTCAAAGACATACAACTTTCATTAGACTCATAATCAAATCCAAAGCTAAAATCTCATAGACTCTAAGCAAACGACAAATCAATCAAGTCATGGCTGCTGAAATGAAAATCCTGAGGAAAATCATGGGCAAAAAAAGGTGACCCGTCAGCAGTAATTCATCAATTTGCAAAAATTTCCTACTACCTAAGTATTTAGAATTACTCTCGCAAGAGATATGTTCTCTCCACTGTAGAAACCTCGAACAACAGAGTCAAGGAGGTCCTGAAAAAGACATGCCACCGGCAAGGACAAGTATTCAAAAGACGTCCTAAAGCTAAAGTTCTCTTCCTGCCTGCTAAACTTCTAAACATAAGGGCAACGAACTTCATGATAAGTACAACATCCTTGAAACGATCCCACTAAAATATCGTAGGCAATAGCCTACGTGCCAAAAATGCTGATCCATGAGCCTAACAACATTGACTTGTACAAATAGTAACTACAGAGAAAGTAAATGGTAAATTAACATAACAATCTGAACGAGTATTAAAAACTAATACACACCCCAAACCCCAGCTTCTATTACAAATTTTACCCCTCACATGATGTTTACAGTGCCCCCGAAACAAAAAAGGGGCATCATTCTTTAAAGAAGCGAAAGCCTATAACGAGGTTGTCGTAACGTTTGCTAGTGCCATGTAAGGTTAAATGACATCCCAACTGGACTAAATAGGCTTTTTAGAAGCCTAGATCTGTTGGACTAAAAATGTATGTAAGGTATATACAAAAGATCTTTCTCAGAAGCACACAGAGAAGTTATAGAGCCAATATTGACGTACATGTTGGAATCTTGGCAGATAAAGGAAACTGTATGGAAAAAAGTAGATGCAGTAGAAACAAATTTTCTCTGAAGAGCCTGTCAAATATTTAGACTAAAGCACACACTAAATAATAAAATTATTACACACTATATTTGAGTCAAATTATTTCAGCTTCATTTTTTATACAATACCGTGTATTTTATCCAAAATGAAATAATTCTCTATTTAGTGTTAAATTAATATATGTAATTATTGAGTGTCATTCATAATATCATTACTAATATAATTTATTTATTTTTTTTTTTAGTTAACAAAGTGTCAGAAAAAGCAGAGTGAAAATAGCCAACATCGAAAGGTCTGAAATTTTTTCCATTGATGGAATGTTTTATTTATATAAACTGGATATTATCCATATTCTAAGATATTTATATAAGCCAAGTACTTTATTGGTATTGTTGTGATTATATATAATCTCATATGTATAGTATTAATTTTTAAATATATCCAATTGAAGGCTTAATTTTTTTAAAGGGTTTTTGTAAAATTGTTCAATATTTGCTTAAGCACTTGTTTAAATTACTTGAAATTTTAAAGGGTACTTTTTAAAGATATAAACTATTTTGAGACTTTTTGGGCACCAAATAAATACAATTGTTCAATAAATGTTTTCCCGTTATTTTTAACCATATCAAAATCACTTTTTCTTCCTTTTTTCCATATACCCTGCCAGTCATGGCGTTTAGACCACGTAAATCACGACTACTAATATATTTTTAAGGACTATAAAAACGAAGAACCTGATATAAACCAGTAATATATGCAATATTAAGGGTATATATAACCAAACTAATTATAAGAGAGTTGACTAGAACTTCGATAAAGTCAAACAGCTGCTCATATATTTGCTCGAAAAAAAAAACTGACCAGATATACTGATGACCAAAAAAATGCAACACCGAGAATGACAAATTTTTTTTTGAATATTTATTTATGGAAGTACGTATACAATATAATATTCTTATTATTTGATTATATTATAAACAAATTTGCAACGTTATTTGCGTCAAAAAATTAATAATGAGTGGCTTCTCCTTGATTTTCTATACACTCAGTTACTCTTTGAGGCATTGATTGAATTAAGTGGTCTATTATATCATATTGTGAATATACTCATCCAGATTCTTCTTATGGCATGCCACAGGACTTCTAAGTTTACTGTAGGACGTGGCAATCGATTGAGGTTTCGATTATGTCATTGAGTTAGAATCGATGATAGATTCGAACTCGATGGATTATGTAGACCTATAAAACAGAAGAAGGATCCGAGATTGAGCGACCTTGAAATTTGCGTACTCTATTTTATACCTGTTTGTCTGGTTTTGTCCGCTAAGGCGGCGGCTTGGTGTAGAGAAGAGTGCTATGGTCTGTTTTTTAACCAGGAGGAGTAATTCAAATTTTCCGCGCCGTAATCCTTGTTTGCAATTGGTCCATGGACGTATAAACACAGATGGACTCAGTTATTTACATAAAATTGTGAAGTCAAAATTATTTGAATAGGTCACATTCTCAGCACCTTCAACTGTTGTCACGTTTTGTTTTAAAATTTCTTATTCGCGAGTCGCTGAAAATATTACTCCGTATTTTATACTCTACAGGTGCTATCAAACCAAAATAATAATTTATTGGTTAGATTAATATATTTAATTGTAATCAAAATATAAAGTGTGCACATAGTGTGCATTATCATTTAATAATAGCGTATAATAGATAGTCAATCAATTATTTTATATGTAGAAGCACTGAAAACTATTTATAAATGGCAACGGTTGTTTACATTTCTCTGTCTTATGGATCTACGTCAAACTTCAAATGCTGTTCCATGTTTGTTTACTTTTTAGTAAAAGTTGTTTTTCGATATTTTGGCTGTATTTTGAGTGATATTTGTGAAAAGTGAAATAAAATAAACGAAATATTTACATCCCGATCTCTCATTTCATTTGTAAGTACATACAATTTACATTATTTAAGATGAGGAAATGAGGAAGCGTGTTTGTTTACATTTTAATAGGCGTACCATTGGGTTTATTCATGTTCATTAATGTATTAATAAGATATATAGTTCATGAAATTAGTAGACATTTTTAAATTGTAAGTAGACATCATCTGATTAAAAAAGATCTATTTAGTACCTTTTTAATCTAATATTTCTCATGGATGCAAATAAATTAGTGAAATGAATAAAACTCATTTATTTTTCTATGTAGGTTTCCAAATAATATTGACGATCGAACTATTTTGGTAGCAAATTTAGGAGAAAACATAAAGATTTTTTATTGTAGCATTATTTTGATACCTATTAAATATTAACTTGAATTCAACTATATTTTATTGTATTAATTTTAAAGCAAATAAAATTGTATTTTAATTTTTCTATAAAGACGTGATTTGTTAATAGTTAAACTCTCGTTTTTTTTAATTCTTTGAACGTGTTTTTATACATTATTACTACTTCAATTTTTAAAATCTGAATAATTACCCGCGAGTAAAAATTCAAGCACGCTTATGCTCATTGCGGAAGCATCACATTCTATCGAAGCTTCAAAACATTGTGTGTTAAAGGTATCTTATTGCTGTGTCCATCTATGTTTATACGTCCATGGTCCAACCGCAGTCAAGTTTACCTCCACTAAATTATGACCAAATTGACAGTTAATGACAATTTGTGAAATTTATTTTATTATTATTATTTTCCTTTAATGTATAAATCGCTTTCTGACTCTTTATAGTTGTTTGTAATTAACTTGGACTTGGTGATATGCGAATAGTATTAATGTGAATATTTTTCTAGATGATGTTTATACTAAATATAGTTTTAAAGTGTTTATAAATTTATAAATATTATGTTATTTATATCTAATTATCATAAGAAAAACGGCAACTATCTTTTAATTTTAGTGTATACTTGTTAAGAAGCATTTATCATTTTGTTTTCAATCACAATAAAAGAACATTAGTAAAGTAATGTTGTATTTTAGTTTATATGATACAGTTGGTTTTGTTCTTTTCCTGGTTGTAATCATCACAAGAAAATTATGCAAGAATGTAACATAATAGATTGGATTTGTTGATTATCTCACAAACAAACTCACTATCAAAATTTAAAACAAGAATCCAGCATTAAAGAAATTGTATAGTACACACTTTTTTATACAAAGTATATGGTAAGAAAAAAAAACTAGATTTAAGAAAGTGATCATACCAGGATAAGAATATGGTCTACTAATTAAAATGACAAATTTCTGAGAAACCGAAAACCCATACCTACTTAGATCTGTAACACTATTGATCCCGATCAAAATATTCTCTAAATTATAATTAAATTCCATAGACTTAAGAGATCCATAAAAACTGGATCACTCGATATTTAAATATTATACATGGGACCAATGTGAAAAATGTCCTTTTTTTATTGTAATATATATTGGAAGTGAATTGAAAAAAATTATTATTCTTAACATAAATAAACAAAGTTAGGTTAAAATTGACGTGTGAGGTTGTCCAATATTGATTACTCGATTACCGCAAGGTAGAGATAATCAACAAAAAAATAAGATGTATTTGGTGACTTTTCTAGTAACTTTCTTGGAGTGTGAATCTGCCTTTTTGGTTTACTCCTCCTGGTTAAAAAACAGAGTATAGTAGTACATTGGTGAGTGAATGTGAAAATTTCGGAAAAATAATTAATTATTCGTATTTAATATAAGATTACTGTTTTGGTGGTTAATATTTATTTTAATCTTAGTGCGAAGAAAGCTTAAACCAATAGAAACTTGCTTCGTATCGGAGTGTATAACGGGTTATCATTCCGATTAAAAAATTCAAAAGGGAATTTAACAAAGGTTATGCAAGCCTTTTTTAAAAATATCAAATATCTTAAAGATGTGTTTATTTATATTTTCATATTAATTTTTTTTAAAGTAGGTATATATATTACTTACTGCTTATTTTGCACTAGAAATAATTGTAAAGCTTCATTGACTAAGTGAGTAAAATTGATGATTTTTTAATTAAGTAACATCCAGTTGTGGCTTATTTGTGAATTATTTTTTGTTGTCATTTTAGTTTTCGTATGAAACAATGTTAAGACATCATTAAATTTATAGAATGGGTGCTATTTCAGCCCTATAAAAGAAAAAAATTTGGATTTAACACGGAAATACTACGACATTTCTATGATTTGTCTTTATATTTATAACATTCATAGATTATTTTTGTTTTGTTATTTTTTTTTCAGTGTAAATAAAGTTTGTGTTGCACCCATTATTGATTTTTATTTCAACCTGAAGATTATAATGATAATAGTAAGATGATCTTAAAGTTTTTCTGTCGATCAATGCATTTTTTTTTTGAGACAAAAGTTATTTTACAAAAATTAACATTAATTTTGAAAAATCAAACTGTCGTTAATAGTTAATTAATTTAACATATATTTTTTATTAACACATACTCTCACGGATACTCCCGAATTGCAAATCGGTCAAAACTTTTCACACGGATATTAAGGATTTACAAGTTAAATTTCAAAAATTCATTTAGGGAGGTGTTTCTAGGAGTAATTAGTATAGTTTTTTTCCAAAAACATGGACGGTTATAACCGTTCCGATCCCACTAGACAGTTATTATCTGCATCATAGGACACGACGGTTACCATCGCCGCTTATTTATAACACAAAATAATTTATTTAATAAACCAAACTAATAAAATTCAAGAATAAAATACAAACAGTAAAATGCAAAAAATTAAATACAATAAAAATACATTTTACACTTTTGTATTTGAGTATGCCACAACATCGAAAATATAGTCCTGGACACTAGTGATGTAACGAATATTCGCATTCGCGAATATTCGCATATTTTTGCATATTTGCATTCGCATTCGCAAAATTTGTGCGAATGTTTTGCGAATATTACACAGCTTGCATTTAGCTCGTTCAGTATCGAAAAGTGGTGAAAAATAAGTCCATTATTTCCACTATAATTTGATTTACTTATAGTAATAAATCGCTAATCACACTTTAAACTAAAAATTCACTTGTATTTGTATCACGAGCAGAGCAGGGCAAGTGGAGTGACTTGAGTCCCGTGAAATTTTTATTGGAACTATAACCAGAGAACTTAGTTCTTAGTTGCTTTCTCTACGTTTTTGGCCCGGACGTGACTATAAATAAATACTAAATACCTTTTTAAAACGACCCCCTCAATAAACTTAACCGCCTACAATAAACTTCTTTACAATAAATACAACTGTTTCACATATTTACTTTAGCAAATATGATAGAATGATACTGGACAATTTAAAGCAGTTAAAAATGACAGACCTTTTTCCAATTGCCTACACACCTCGCGCAAATGAGACTGCCGGCAGAGTGCCGGAGACAATTTAAATTGCCAAATTAAAAAAAAACTGAATATTCGCATTCGCGAATGTCGGTGGCATATATTCGCATTCGCGAACTGTTTAAAAAATGACATTTGTTACATCACTACTGGACACAATGGGGGATATTCAGCATTATTTTTTGCACCTGCAGCTGGCTCTCCCTTCTACTCCCGTATTTTGTGCAGTGTTTGCACCGCACAGAATACTTTATTTCGGCTATAATTCTGTAGAAAATGTATCGTTTCCTGATAATACTGTACTGGTAAATTTTTAGGATTACCAGGAAGAGCCGTATTTTCTTGTGGTGTATTTTGTAAAGAAAAATTAATCAAGTTTATCGCATCTTTTATTTTAGGGTCCAGTCCTAACAGGCTTTGAATAAGTAAATCTATCTAATAGATGAAATAGTAGCCTAAAAATTTATATAACTCCTGCTTATCAATCGGTTTGTATATCCTACTTAGAGAGTGTCTGGTTTTAGGGCGAAACCTGCTTACAAAGTATATGTCCGTAGTTGTTGATGCAAGCAAGTAAAAGTGTCACAATTCCATCATCCCATAGCTTACTAAACATTTCATAAGTACAGAAAACACTAATATTGGCAACATCCACTATATGCCATCCAATATCTGGTTCTTGAATAATATCATTTCGGCTCGTCTGAACCACCTGGCTCTTGTAAATTGACATCCGTAGTTTGTTTCGGTAGTTTCAATCACTTTCAGTAGTTCATTGTTTCTATTATCAAGATCCGAATATGCTCTGAAACTTTTATCACTTGCTGAATATGAACCTGCTTCATGGTCTGTTAAACTAAAACATCTTTTATAGAAGCCTTCAGAATATAAAAATATGTATTTCTAAACAGAGCTAAAGATAATTCATATGTCGTGGACCTGACGTAATCATTTAGTGATATCGATCTACGAACGAAACAACGGAATTAGGCATTGCCTAAAAGCATGCAGTCTGTTATCGTAGCAAGACAGAGGACGAAACTAGTTTTTGCGTTAGTGAAATAGCTTTAATATTTTTTATTTGTAAACAATCGTTTTTAATATTTTATCATTTTTTAATCATTCTGAATAAAAAAGGTTAATTGTAATTTTTTTCTCCAAATTTGATCGTTTTCAACTTATAAATAATTTAAAACTGAAAAAAAAAAACGAAAAATGATGACTGAAGGCTCAAAAACACACAATTGTTTTTGAATTCACCAACCTTGTTCTATCAGTTTCTGATACTTTATTTTGAGCTTAGTTAATATAAAAACTTTGTTTTTAGTTGTTTGACTCCCATATCACAACCTAAAAATGGATTTATACAAAACTGTTTAATAAATTAGGATCACTTTTTGTATGAACGACCTCTTGAACATTATTCTGCTGGATTTTATGAAAACGATTATGCAAAAAATCTCATGGGAATATTTTTCCCAAGGAATTCCAGGTTTTCGTCTCGTATATACATATTTTGCTGAATTTAAAAACCAAAATCCTATTATTTTTCTATCATACATTGATTTATTTATTTATTTGTCCTCTAGAGTTTTTTCAGTTCTTTTAAGGTTTATTTATAACCAAATTAGTGCAACGTAAATATTTTATTTTTACACAGCAATTCTTATCGAAAATCAAGACTGGAAGTCGTAAATTTTTATTACATCTTTCAATGTGAGACGAAATACTCGATATCATTAGCATGTGCAAATCCTACCCTGTCGCCTAATTTCCTATGAAATTAAAATGGTAAATGTTTTTAGGATGCATTTTATGTTTTCGGGCATGCGTATTTACTGGGTCCAGGGAGTGTTTTGAAAACATCTTTACACCGCTATGTATTCCTAAACAGAGGACGGGTATAGCAGGGGTGTCCAGCAATGTGTTAACTAAACTTTAACATCTTTATAGAAGCCTTCAGAATATAAAAGAAGTGTTCATGAAGAAAAATCATTTTAAATTTTGGTAGATAATTAAAAAAAGTTCAATAAAACTATAAATAATTTAAATAGCTTTTTAAAAACAATTACAGTAAGTTAAAACTTTATTAGTTTGGCTTGAGATTTTATAGATATAAAAATTAAAGTGTGTATGTAAAAATTTGGATTTACTTATTAATCTTGGTAGGTAATTATGTAAATTTACGTCAGTCGCAATTGGATGCTTACAGCAAGTTTTAAAGTATCGTTATAGTCGTCAATTAATGATAAAATATCAATTAGATTTGACTGTATAACTAGCTATCCCCAAAATCAGACGAAGGTACTCCTGGAAAAATATTAATTTGGTTCACTAATATTTGATATTTTCAACTAACAAACTTTTTGATATCAATTAATTTGCAGTTGAAATTCTATTGGTATACTTATAAATGAGGCAGTTAGATACTGAATGATTAGAATAATGTGATAAAATATTTTCGCTTCAAAATAAGCTGTGCCAAATTAGAGTAATGGCAAATTTAAATTTGATTTCACATCTCCATCATTTCGCATAGAAATAATACACTTTTGGCCTCACGTCGATATGTTAGTAATAATGTTGAAATTATTTATGGCATAAAAACTATTCGGCACTAATCAACCAATAAATGACTGTCTAAAAACATGAATAAAATTAATTAAAGCAATAAATACGTCCATAAGTCACTATTGTATTTGTAGCACCCTTTGCAACACTTGGCCCTCTAGCGGTGATTGCTGAATTAGATGTTGAAAAAGTAGACACACAAACTTTGATGGCCACTCCAAAATCCTTATACCAGATTCTTGTATGAACTCAATGGTTTCACGGGCAATATGGGGTCTTGGGCTATCCTGTTGAAAGATTGCATTTGGAATAGTTTATAGGTAGGAATGTAAAACCGGTTGCAGTACTTCACCAATATAACGTTGAGCTTCAGAGTGCCGTTAATATGAACTAGAGGTGATCTATTTTCCAAACATATAGCACCGCATACCACAATGCTTCCCAAACCGATCGTAGTAGATTTTTATTGTTATTGCCGAATTTTTAAAACCTATAACATGATATTTTAATTTTGAGTTTTGGCAATAAATACGGGGCAAAATATGTCTAAAAAACGCAGAATTTAAACTTTTACATTACAAACGATCGCACGGCACGGGAAATGCCTCCACGAAGACGCTATTGGATGGAATTTGTTGTTGAAGTTGTGTAGTTTCGAAAAACGTACTTGTGTAATTGAAAAGAAGCAGTTTTAAACATTTTAGATCGTTTGTAATGTGAAAGTTTTTAGTAACATTTCAAATGCCTCACATTTGTTGCCAAAATTCAAAACTTAAATTTCATGCTATATAGGTTTTGAAGAATGGGCTTTAACAATGGAAATTCTGTAGTGATCGGTCAATGAAAGTGATGAATTTTATTGGTCTCATAACAATCATAAAAAATGGCCAAAATCGCTCAACGTTTATTAAAATACAAAAACTTTACTCCTTGGCTTTAAAAAACAAATTGTTCGATAGGATACTATGATCAAAAGATATCACATTTTTTTTCGCCGAGTTGATAACAATTTTATTTTTATAAACGCGCGCGTAACGGACATTCAAAATCGCCGGTCGCTCCAAGCATTTTTATTCAAAATTATCTCGGCTACATTTTTTATTTTTTCTAGGTGTAAAGATTCTTGGAAAATCGATTTTTTTCCGTTTTAACTCCCTACGAGGGGGTTTTACGAAGAACCGGAAGAGTGGTAGTAAATTTCTTTGCATATTTTTTTGGGTCCCTAAATAGACATTCTCAACAAAATTCAGCTTGTTCATATGATGTTTAAAGGTTCACTGAAATTTTGGTCTCTGACAACTGAAGTATTGTGATAATTAAAGTAATGTTTACAAAAGATATATGCTAACCAATCCCCTAAATATTACTTAAGTTTATGATAATGTAAAACTCTCAATACTGATGCATTTGCAGCATAAATGTAGATTTGATCTGAATATTAGGTAATCTTTATCTCTATTATTTGTTACTCTGTAGGGATCAGGGACCGATCTTATGGACTACTATAGTTAGTAAAGCAATTGAGGATGAGGTAATACAGAAATGCAAAAAGGTGATAGCAAATGAAAAGATTTAATTAATATTCAACATTATTTAAAATACATAACAAAACATATACACATTATATCAAGAATTTTCACTTTCTTTGTATTTACATTTTGTACATGTATAAAAAACTGTTTGACCTTCATCTGCAGATCGCAATTGTAAAGTGGCATAGGACATTTTGTCATTGCCACATTTTGGACATTTCCTATCTACCACTGGGCCCTCATCATCATCATCATTTTCTTTTTGTCTCTTGTCTTCTTTAAGGTTCTTCTTTTTAGCTTCTCGTGAATTAAAGGTTATTGTGTACTGGACCTTCGAATTTCCAAAAACTAGAAAATATATATTAATTATGTTAATATTTAAACATATACATCTAGACATATTAAGATCAACAAATAAGTAGTCTGACAAATAGGTTCAGCTTCCATAGTTATCAAAAAGGAAGCAAAAAACATATATGTATGTTATTACATTTTAAAATAAGAATTTTTTTAAAAATCTTTGCACAAATGATATCTAAATTTTTGGGTCCTCTATATGAGGATTCTTATCAAAATTAAAACCGCTAATTTTTCAACTATCTTAATTGAGTTGTCTATTATCAATGCGGCAATATCCTTACAATGACGTTTTCCTCAGTGAGGTATAAATTATATTGTAACTTATCAGTTACTGCTATTAAAAATTTCTCAACAGGTCATAACATTGGATTTGATTTAAACATTTTCGTTAGTTGTAACGTATTTTAGTTAAACACAAATCAAAAATTCGTGAAAACAAAACGGAGATTTCTGAGTTTGATAGTCAAATTTTGGAGTTTTCTGGTTTTGAAACCAAATGTAGGGGAGACTGCTGTTTTTGATACCAAGTAATGTCTAAATCTGATCATGGAATATTGTATTATAACAATTCTTATTATTTAAGGGCGATAAAATTATGTGGGTATATACAATATAGGTTGTAAATTGAAAATACTTTATTCTCTACAGTATACAAGATATATAAAAAATTCTTCACTATTTTCTAAGGCACAGTTTTCATTTGGAGTATTATGATAGAAAATTGTTTTTAAACCACTGGTATATTCCGCAGGTGAAATAATAGTATTTTTTCTTATATCTCTCTTAATTAATCCTGCTACCTGATCAGGGGGCATAAAAGGTGACCAACCACAGGGAATATTAATTTCCACTTTTTCAATAGATGTTCTAGTCTCATGGAACCATTTGTGAAACATAATAACAATCTACTGCGTAGAAAAAAAAATCAGCTCAAAATCACAACAGGTTTCCTTACTATATAGGCATGCACCAGTTTCAGGGGACAACTGCATACAATGAGGATGTTTCATGATGATCTAAGCTGCAGACTTAGTAGCAGAAAACCTGAAACAGTCAACCAATGTTGCATGACTGCGAGGCTTTTAGAGTCTAGATCATAGGCAGCAAACACTTTTGAAGTCTACAAAGGGACTTTTTAAAGATACAGTAACAATCCAATTGACCTATACAAGCTGTATGTATACGGTTCCACCATTCTGTAATGGACATCATGAATAAATGCTGCAGTAAGATCTCTTTATAACAATTTCTGTAAAAAAGGATGAAGCACTATAAAGTTGGTCCTAAATCCAAACATTTCATAACAAGAACTGACTTTACATTTTTATGTTTGCTTATAAAAGCATATTTAAAACACACCACAGTAAGATTAAATCATCCGAAATTCATTTATTAAAAGTTGAAAGCTACCTTCTTCTGCATCTTCAAAAAATACCCTAGAACAGGCATAACATGTAACGCCACCCTTAGCCTGCAAAGGGGGTAAAATTGATCCACAGTCAGGGCAAAACCCAGGAATTCGATTAAAAGAACTAGTCATTATTATAAAAAAAATATAAAAATAAGGTTAAATATGCACTACTATTAGGTTATCCTTTTCTTCTTGTTTGGGTATTGGTAACTGTTTTAAAAATAGATCTTTTTATTTTCTGTGGAATTCATATTGTCGAATATATAACGAAAATATGTACATGCATATTGTAGCCTGTCACAAAATGTTTAATGGATTTAGATTTTTCGTGTGGGATGAAGACGTCTGCGTCTGTTTTACCAATATTTTGTTTTTATTTTTACAAAATGACTATCAATGTTGGCACCAGGCCAAGGTCGTTCAAAGCAAAAGAGGAAGAATTTGACTTTGTTGACAATAATGACAGTTTTTCTAACTAAGGTTATGTAAATAATATTAGTGTTTGATAAGTTAATTAATGATAGATTATATTGAAGAGTCGGTCGTCAATCTGATTAAATTATCATGTTACAAATGCGGCATTAGTGTTAATTACTCTAGAGATAAAGTATTTACGAGACTCGCGAATGAGTATGTGATAATAAACAGTCGGAATTGTGGTATGTTCAATTAAATTTGAGAATTTAATGTGAATTTAAAAAAAATTGGATGATCCTGAGCAGAGTCCACTAGAAAACGACGAGTTGAGTGAATATGATATTTATTCAAAGACCCCTCCAAGAACGAAGATCTTAAGAAAAAATCGGGAGCGAAAAAACAGAGACAGACAGTCAAGGTATGTAATTATTATAAGATTTGCAAAATTAGTAACTTATTGTTTTTAAAACAGTTATAATTTTACTTCTTCTAAAATCGATAAGATAATATATTACTCAATTTCGAGTTTTGTAAGGACATAGTTGACATAATGAGAAACTTTGGAATTCCCCATTGCTTTCTTTTATATAGAGTTAATGTCATTTAAAACAAGTTTTAGCTTTAGGCAAATATGTTGGTGCCAAAATAAATAAAAACATTGCATTCCAATATCATATAATCAATTTAAAACTAATTGATATTTGATATTAAAACATAAGTTACCTACCTTTTTTAAATTATATCCCAAGGTTTTTTAATAAAAAAGAACTTTTTCCTTAGGAAAAGATTTTATCATTTGTTTATCAGCTCATAATGAAGAAATGTTTAATTACACTAATAAAGGAAAAATCCACTTGTAGAACAAACACATCTAGTTTATTGACTAATTATGTAGTGCATCAGTGCATCATTGTGATTAAGTTATACTGGTTTAAATAATAATTAAAATTAACAGATAATATTGAGACAACTGTTTTAAATTGAAAAAATTAAGAAATAAATAATGTAAAGCACACATGGGCAATAACAAATGTTGTGCATCTATTTATTTTCTTCAAGTTATTGTTATTCCTTTTTCTATTGTTACTTTACATTAGTGTATAGTGTATTATATTACTATTATGTATCAATTAAATTCGAACAGAGATAATATGAGATTTAAAATAATATCATTTAAATAAATCAATGTGATGTTCATAACTACAATATATGATAAACTATACTACAAGTTCTAACGATTACACTCACAATTAACATTGTTAACATATAAACTGTACATATTTTCTGTATAAATGTTAATATAAATTTTTCAAATTTATTAAAATTAAAAAAAAAAATGTATATGTACTATTCAAATTTACTCGATGGAGCTCAGCGGGGTTGGAAAATTATTTTATAAATTAAATATTATTATTATTATATTTACATGGGATAAAGCCACAATTAGTTGTAATGGAAATTACATTTTACCTTTATTATTCACACATTAACCATTTCTATTTGTTTAAAATTTTAAACATTTGGAATTCCTTTCCTCTCAGGTAGCTGTAGCTTCCTCCGTGGATGTGTTAGTTATTGCTCTGAGTCCTCAGGGTCTTCTATTATTGCCGCAAATTGCTTACATTGCTCCTGTAACAACCCCTTTTTTCCAAGTTAATGTTTTTCTATTCTAACTTGTCTGCACAGTACTAATGATAACCACATAGTCAGAAATACATATTCATGTTTGCCTTCCATCTATATACCTATTTTGTTTTTGGTTTTTTCCCTGTTGCGCAATATGCCATTACATTTTACCTATATACATTCCTATCTATAATTCTGAATAGCATTAAAAAATGAAACTAAAGGTGTTAATGTTCACTGCAAAATTAATAATAATAGATTTTATGTGTTATAATCAAAATTGTATTAATGTAATAAATGATTCAGTACTTATGTGATGTGAATAGGAATATAAAATGATATCAAATATTAAATACATGTACTAAAAGGCAATGGGAATATGAGTTATACCTTTAAAACTTTCACTTCAGAATGTATCACTTTTTATATATTTTAAATTAACCCCTCTCTCTCCTTTTATTTTTTTTTGAATAATATACTTTATCTTGAATATTATTTAAAGGATACTTATGGTCACTTTTTAACTCATTTCACATTCTATCTAAAGCGAGTATCAGAAACATAATTACAAAATAGCCTAGAGCAAAAACACTGTAAATATCACATAATAATTACTTTTTAATTGATACTCTGCTGGTTAATGGATGTTATCATAATTTAGCTTTTTACAAATATTCTTTACAAAAACATGAAGAAAACTATAATAGATTTTTCGAAAATTAATTTGAAATTTTGAAAGTTAAAATTTTAAAAGCTTATAAGAACTTTCTAATAAAAAAAGTTTAAAAGGAATGAACTCTTTTGATAAATGGAAGATCGTTGACATAGGTGGATAACCTATAAAATTAATTGAATACATAAAAACATACTATAAGAGAGAAGTAAAGGACTTTCTTCTTCTTGAAGATGAAACTAATCAGTCCGAAAACTATAAAGGTCTAGGTTTATCAGTCTATAAAGGATTTTTTAAAAGTTTGTGACAACTTTCAAAACATTGGATTTTTTTGCAAAAAACCAAATATTGTTTCTAAATGGTTATACTTTTTAAGGCGCTAAATGAAAAATTATTTATGTAACTCCAGTTGTTTTTTTTTTTGAGAGATTAAAAAGATATACTTACTTGGGAATGATAATTACAGAAAATAAAGATTATACTGCAGAGATAAGAGCCACAACTGAAAAAGCATGTGCCAACTTCGTGAAAATGAAAAAGATTTTATGCAGCAAAGATCTGAAATTGGCCCTCAGAATAAGGCTAATTAAATGCTATGTACACAGTGTACTCTACTAGTATCTGCAGATTTTTTCTCAAAATCATTGTTTAAAATTGAATACATCAAAAATTCAGGGTATCATTTTTGGGAGGAATCTCCATAGGAAAATCAAAGCAGTAATTTATTAAGTAGGGCCACAAAGTCATTATTATGTAATGCTCTGGTATTGTGAAAATTAAACTATTGTGACATGCTTTACAATGCGTGTCTCACTGAATTTGATTCATGGAGAATACAGAAATTGCAAAATTCTTGTTTGCGTTTGATTTTTGGCATCAGGAAATTCCAAAGGATAAGTCATGTTTTCACCATAGTCAAGTGGCTAAATATGAAAAATCGTCGGAAACTTCATGCTTTATGTTTTTACCATAAAATCATTCAGGAGAGAGTTCCACCATATCTGTACAATCGAATAACTTATAGGACAAACGTTCATAACGTAGCGGGTAAAAGATCCCAGAAGAAGATCTCTAGTACGATGGTCGGACCAAATAAAAGAGATGATTGGTTACTCATTCTTCGAAGCAAAAGAACACGCAGAAGAGAGAGAGAATTGGTCAGAAATAGTCAAACAAATTACATGACACCACTACATCTTTATGAAGGAGAAAAGATTGAGGAGAGAGTAGCAAATTAAATTGTTTACAACTTTATTTCTATTACTTTTAATCGTAAAATGAAAATAAAAAAGTTATTAACTATAAACTAAAATTTTTGAACAAATTTTGAAACAAATTGATCGAGAGTAGTGAATCAATGTCAAGAACCACTATTCTATGATGCTACCCGTAACGACGCCACCTTGTGGCGCTAATTCCGTGACGATCGCCTCAGAATTTTACTGTAGAGAAAAAAAGTAATACAACGCCAGTATAGAAGCTTCGCTTCAATAAATTGATTTAAAATAATATGAATAAAAAATAATATATAATAGGAAACTAAGTCTAATGATTCGTTTTAATCGTATTCTCACGAGTAATCAAGAAACCGATCAACTTCGGAGTGCTATAAAACCCAGAAAAATGAATGAAATTATACAAACTTGAAGTGAAAATGATTCGTTGCAAAACCCACTATAATATTGCTCTGACATAATTTTATTGTAAAATGATTAGAAAAAAGACCAAAAAGAAAATTTGTTCAAAAATTTTAGTCAAAGTTAATAACTTATTTCCATTTTACCATAAAAAAGGAATAGCAATAATGTTGTAGACAATTTAATTTGCTACAAATAATGTCTGATACAATTTTCTGTAGAGTTGCTAGTTTATGAGATACAGCGCGAAATCACTTTGCATCTCTTATTCCAAGATGGCGAGTATTCAAGAACCCGGCTAACTTCGGAGCGCTGTAAAATTCAGAAAAATTAATAAAATTAAACACATTTGTAGTGAAAATTATTCGTTGAAAACCCTCTATAATAATGCTCTGACGTCATTTTATTGTAACACTACGAGAAAAAAAGTTATAGGGCCTAAAAGAAAATTTGTTCAAACATTTTTAGTTATGTTTGTTTATAACTTGTTTATTTTCAATTTTACAAAAAAAAGTAAAACAAATAAAGTTTTAGAAAATTAAAATTTTCTATAAATAATGTTCTATAAAATTTTCTGAAGAGTTTGCTAATTTACGAGGTACAATGCGGAAACCTTTGCCCCCTTTTTCCAAGTTGGCGGCCGGGAGACAAGGGTGGCGACCCCACAAACTTACTAACCATCCCCACACATAAAAAAAGGAAATTGCGTCCTCTCAATGTAACTTTTCAATTGACTAATTTTAATTTATAAAATATACTCCGTCATTGATAACTTGTTGATCGTTTCATCTTACTTCAGTGGTTTTCAATATCAAATCGACCAAAAAGGGACTATAAAATACCGTTTGGTCTTATATAATACAGTTTAGTGTTACAAGTTTGTCGTATTTTTTATAATTACTTAAATTACTTAATACTTTATGCGATTTTATAAATAGAACAACTGTTTTAT